TAGGTTAGCTAAGTCTACTCAGGTACCCCCCCTTATGGCCAGTACTTCATTCTCCACAACCATGATCTCATGCTATGGTAAGAGTGGATCCAAGTGGGCTGTCTCAGCCCCAAACCTTGCATTGCGTTCCAAGGGCTAAGCCCTAAACCCTAAAACCTGCAAACCCTAGCGTTTAGGGTTTAAGGGCTTCAGGGTTTAGGGTTCAGGGTTTGTTGTTGTTTAAGGTGGACGCCGGACGCTACCAGCCATCATCCACGCCTCCACCGCTCGACCCGCATCGTCTTTTGCTGGTTGTCCTGTGATGATCACTATACCTACAAAGTTGTCGCATGGGTCTCAGGGCCTTAGGAGGTCAACAAGAGTTGAAGCAACTTGCGCTTTTGTTGTTATCAGATTGGGATTGATAGTAAGTTTCACGATCACACTGGTGCAGTGACGACAGCCACTTGGGTGGTTATCAAAATTACGGTCCCTTTTTGGGTCCTTACTATAGTACGGCACCTAATATTTAGGGAGGGTTCCCAAAAAGGGACCATAGTTTTGACAACCGCCCACTTGTCCTCCTTTTATCCCCCTGCTGATGCCGCTGCTGTTGCTGCAGCTACTACTACCAATTACCTACTGCAACTGCTCCTGCTCCTGCTGCTGCTGCTCCTGCTGCTGCTGCTGCTGCTGCTGCTGCTGCTACGACAACAACAGCAGCAACAGCAAAATCAACAACAACTACAACAAGTACCATGGCCACTACTACTACCAATACCACTACCACGACTATTACGATTGCCACGTTTACGTGCTACGATGCTTACTTCTTGCATGTTGCGTATGCTCACCACAAAACCCTAAAGTCCCAAAGCCGCAAGCAACCCTAGGCCGAAAACCCCAATCCAAAATGAAACCGCTATCAACAAAGCCTGCGTGAGGCCTTCCCTCGTGAAGCGTGTGCAGGCCTTGCACCCCCCGATGAGTTGAGATTGACCCTCGAAATATGTTTGGGATGTGTGGTGGGGGGTTTTCAGGTTTAGGAACCCGAATTCCGTCACGGATGAACTTTCGGGTTTGCCCGGACGAGCATTCGGATCAACCGAGACCCAAACCAAACGCCACAACTCATATAATCGCCCCATAAAGCCAGGAACCCTGAGCCCCAAACCCTAAACTCCTAAAGCTTTTATGCCCAGGCCCCTAAACCTCCAGAACCCTTCAAACCCACATGCCTAGAGACTCCAGCACCACCTCAGCACGGAACATATCTTAATTTGCAGAGAGCTTCTCACTGTGATTAAAGGTTGACGCCTTGTCAGAGCTCGGGGGGCTTTCGGGTTGTGTTTTTTGTTTCTGGGAATGTATCTAAACCTCCAAACCTCCGCCGACCTTACCGTTGGTTAGTAGGGAATGGAAGAATGGTAGTAATAGTAGCTATAGTTATACCCCATCCCTCCATTCCCTACTAACCAACGCTAAGCGACAGGATGATCCGAAAGAGCTGAAAGCTCTCCGGAGGGCCTCCATGTCGCTTCCGAAATGGCTCCTGGAGGTGAGCCATGCTGCTTGAGACTACATGTTTTAGAGCCGGGTTGATCTCCTTTAAGGGTTTCTTTAAGGGTTCCACGACGATTTGAGGCGTAGGGTTGAGGGATTGAAGTGCTACACTCCTCTTTACTAGGAAAGCAGAGTTTGGCTTTCTTCTAGTGGGGATTGCGTTATGCAACTGGTTGCAGGGGTTAGGCGGTTGTGCAGGTCTGTCGCTACTTGATTTTCATTTTTTTGTTGACATAACGCATTTCAGACAATTAGTGGATGATGCCACCAGTCCACCAGCATCACCGCCACCACGATCACCACCGCCGCTGCCACCACCGCCACCACCACCACCACCACCACCACCACCTCCACCACCACCACCACCAACAACAGCACCACGACCACCGACACCACCACCAACAGCAACAGCAACCACAACAACAAAAAAAGTACCAGCAGCAACCGCACCAGCAGCAACACCAAAAGCAGAAGCACATGTAAATGCAAAAACAATAGCAGCATGCGTTGCCCACTTTTCCTGGTTTCCGGGGCATGTGTCATATGGTGATATCGATACAGCTACATTTCAGCAACAGCAACTGTAGCGACAGCACCAAGAGTGAACTCGTTGTCATCGCCGTATCAGAAAGCTTTCGCCAGCAAGATCGTGTTTCTGAGCCAGCTGGCGGCGACACCGAGGATGATTGGGATGGTGGCGATGATTATGGTGATGTTCGTGACGAAGTCAGCTGTGGTGACATGTGGCCGGCCGACGACCACGAAGATGGCTATGAGAGGATGTGTTTTGACCACTTTCGGTCGTTTTCAGCGTCTGCGACTTACGTTTTTGCACGTCTTCCACCAGTCTGAACTACTAAAGCACCTGCCGTTTAGTGTCGTGTTTCTGTTTCCTGGTGCCAATGCTCTTCTTTCAGGTCTGAAGCCCGAACCGCCTCATACGTTCATCCTATATGCCTTATACGACCAGGGAGTTTCCGAAAATAGGGGACCCTGATATAGTACCCCAAATTTGTTATAAGGACCCCAAAATAAGGTACCCCTAATTTTCGGAAACTCCCATAAACCTACCGGCCCCAAAATCCCCGGAGGTCATCGGTGGGCTCCGCGTCCACAGCGCTGAGGATCCCTCTCTGCAGGCACAAAGTCCGGTGCTCAAAGTGGGCGCTGGGCGTTTCGGATTTAGGGCTTAAGTGCTTTAAACCCTTAAACCCCTAAACCCTAAACCCTAAACCGACCGTTATAGATGCCATACCATAAGAGTTTAGGGTGAAAAGTTTAGGGTTTGAGTTGGTTTGTTTGGGGCTTGGGCTTCAGGATCGAAGTGAGGTTTGCACTAGAAGATCGGGAACTGGGGTGTTCAGGGGTGTTAGGGTGTGAGGCTTCGGAGTTTAGGGTGTAGGGTTCGAGGGTTTATGGTTTGATTGCAGCCTTATGCAGCTCGGTGGCTCGTGGTGACCAGTTTGAAACGTGGCTAATACGGATGCCTGTCAACAAGGGTGAACCCTAAACCCTAGCTCTAAACCCTAAACTTCCTAAACACTCATAAACCCTAAACCTCTAACCACGTAAACACTCAACGCTGAAACCCTGGTTGCAACGGAGCTGTTCGTCGCACAACAGACCAATTGAGGCGAGACATCCTCAGCCCTAATCTGAAGCAAAAAGCCAAACGAGTTTGATGAATTAAGCATGAACGGTCCCTTATAGTCTTTATACAAAGAAATACTATAACATACTTTATTATACTCCAAAGAAAGATTCTGAATCGTAAGGTGGACGTCCTGTATTATCCCCAAATACTGTGCACCAAGCCCTACAGACCCCAAACTCCTCAGCCTCCGCAGCCGCAGAGGGTTTGAGCACAAATATGTGCGGGCTGGAATATAGGAAGTTTCAGAACCCAGCGAAACCAATATGTATAGAGACTGAGTAGTATAGGGTCCTGGTCGGAAGGGTTCCCGAAGAGGCATTCTTAGGTTCAGAAGCTTTGAGGGGTTCTACCCGGGCTTCAATGGGTGTGAGGGCACCGGTCTTCCAGAACTTGGGAGGATACCTTGCCCTGCGGCCTCAATCCACTACAGAGGCCCACAGGTATTCTAATTCTAAACCCTAAACCCTAAACCCTAGACTAAACACTGAAGGCTCCCCAATGCAATTAGAGATAGAATCGCTCTGCGGATCACTCGGAAGCCGAGTCAACTTCAGGTTGGACCGACGTTTTTATGGTGAGTTTGAGGTTCTAAGGTTGCCTTCTGTGAATTTCTGGAAGACTCATAAGGGTATGAGAGTATGTTTGGTTAGAGTTGCTATGGCGCGGACTATTCATGTTGCATGGTCCGGCAATGGCAGCTCTGGGCGCTTCGACGTGCTGCTGCCATGTGAAGAAATGGGTGTCGAGGAGTGTTCAACTGCCGGGCATGTGTTTTCAGGCTTGAAGGTAATATCTTTTGTACTTTGTGGCTCGGCACTGAGCTAAGTATGAGTCAAAACAGTACGGAAAGCTTGTTGCCGTCGCTCCACATGATAGCAAAGTTGCACATGTCTCGTCTTTGCGACTTTCTGGCTAGATTAGCAGCCGCTGCCATGATGAGCAAAGACGCTGTTGTAGCCGTGTTCAAGGCGAGCCTTATTACACTTTCGCATTTTTGACATGGTGGCACAGTGCTTGCTGTGGTGATGCTCGTTCGTATATTACATTCCTGCGAAGCTGGTTCTTTCACGCCCCAAGCCAAATGCTAAGCAGTTTATCCTGACTTTGTTTCCCATGGCTTGCTCCTTTCGGATCTTGAAGCCCCCTTTGATCTCAGTCGCCAAATACCCTGAGATGCTCACATCCCGGTGTAGGGTTAATGTGTTGTGGTGTTGCGGGGCCACAAGTCTAAGCAGTCCGCTTCAACGAGACCTCGTCACGCACCGAACTACAAGAGAAATATGGGCTGACCCGAAAACCCCAACCCAAGAATGCGAAACCTTTGATCGCAAACCGTGAAACCCAAGCTTCCAAACCCAAGCCCAACATCCACCAAGATCGTCAAAATTCTTGCAGGAGCCCTTATAAGAACCCGTTTAGGAGCCTTCAATTCCACCCATCCCCCCCCCTCCCCCCCCCCCCCCCCCCCTCCCGCCTGGCTCCAAGAAAGCAACTCGGTAGTCTCAGGAGGTCGCCTGCTGCATACGAGATAGGATCCTCTGCTTCAAAACCCTATCCCTCCAGATACCTTATTATGGGGTCCTTAAGGGGTCTAGGGCCCTAACTATGAGGTCCTTGGAGGGGTAGGGAAAGTTCAGGATTGCTGGAATCGTATAAGATTTATCGGGGTATCGGGTGAGGGTTTAGCTGTGATTTGTCAGGGTTTTTGGGATCTGGGGCTTGGAGGATTCAGGATAAGTGTTTCAAGGCGTTTGGTGTAGGATTTCAGGTGTGCGATTTGGAGGTTCGGACTTGGTTCCAGGGTTTACGGGGTCGATGTGGAGGGATGTAGTGGGTAGCTCAGGGGCAGGATGTTGGGGCATAGTAGGACCTTGAGTCTGGAGTTCAGGGGTGGGGTAGGGGTTAAGGTTACTAGGGTTTAGGGTTACTAGGGTTTAGGGTTTAGGGTTCTGTGGAATATCTGAACTCTGCACAGGGGTCGAGGGTGATCTTCTCCTTCTCAAGAACGTGGTTCAAGAGGCTTCCAAGGGAGGTTAGGCCCAAAGCTCTTGACCATGAACCCTCGCACAACCCTCCGAATTTTTTACACCAGCGACATGAGTGCTTGCTGTCTGCTGCGCCTGACATGTCATGCTTCTGCCGATCATGGCAAATGCATCTGTGCATGCTCTTCTCGAGCCATGTCCGCTTGAGCACAGCGCGACGTAAGCTCGCTGAACCAGGCTGCTCCACAACCTTCTTTACACGGTTCAGCTCTTTAGTGCTTACTTCATACAAGGGCTTTCGCATCACAACTCAGGGCTTTCTTCACCCCTCCTTGATGGGGCCGCAAGGCCCACATCATCTCTCTTCATCTCAGCCAGTCCGAGCCGCGATGCTCGGTCTCCTCTTTCTGGCCTCGGATGCACCTCTGGCACACATCGCGCTCCTGAAACCTCGTCGAGGAGTTCAAGGTTGAGCACGACCTTGAAGCATGCACACAGGTCCCCTTCGGTGTCATAAACACCTTCTTGGGAATATCTCCCAAGAGCTCACACTGTATCGCCACATCACGCATGCGAGGGTCTGGAGACCTCGCCGGACGCCGAGCCAGCGAGGGCCTCTCGGTCCATGCGGGGTCTTCCCAGCTCGACATCGGAGCCGAGATCTTTGAGCTCTTCTTGGTAAGTCTTGCGGGCTCAGCTTCCGGAACTATAGGCCCACCAAACGGTTCGTCGTGTGGTGGCGGGATTCCAGCTGAACAAGTGGCCTCAAAAACGGGCTTCCTTGCTCGCCGAGGCTCTGTAGCGGTTACGTTCATCCCCACAGCTTCAGAAACATCTGACCCACACAAACCTGCCAAATGGATCAGATCTTGTCTCTCTTCCCTGGTGAGGGTGTCGGGATCCCTTTGCAGCAAAGCACTCAAGGTCCTCAGCTCAACTTTCGTTAGCCGCTGACGATCTTGTCCTCCTGCCAAGCTCCTTAGGCGCACCACGTCGCACCTGCTTCTTATTGCGCCTTTGCATCCTTCCCAGATTGCAACAGCACAAATCACCAGCATCGTGACTAGCACATACAGCTCCCAAGGGGTGTGCAGCGACAACGGCTCCGGAAGCGGGTCGTTTTCGGGAACCCTATGACCTTGAACGCTTACAAACCACTGAGCTAACACCAATAACCCCATACAGCAACCCAGATCCCTCCCGTGGGCTGTGGTTGTGGTGTTGTTGACGCGCTGTAGTGCTGTTGGTTGTGGGTGCTGTGTGCTTGTGGCTTCGAGCTCTGTAACGGTGGTGCTTGCTGCTTTCTGCTGCGGCTCCGCTGCGGCTTTCGTTCCTTCTGCCTCCGCTTGTAGGCACCGTACTCCCGGGCTAGCGTCTTCTCCTCGTGGTAGATCATCTTTATTGCCCAGTCCCCACTTTCGCATCAACATATCCATTCGCTTCGAGGCACATAAGGTCGAGACTCAAACGTCTTCACGGGCGGGGTTCCCACCACAGCCTTGATCCGAGAGGTCATTGCCGCCCACATCAGCGCCTTGTAGGCCTTGCCCCGCACGCTCCAACCACCATCCAAGAGGATCTCGACGTTCACGACCACCACCTCGGAGTTCGTATCCTTGTTTATCTGCCCATTCACAGACTGCACCGGGTCCTGCTTCAGGTTCCGGCCCCCGTAGAGGTTGAGCACCCACGCCCTTGACCGCAGAAGCTTCTTTCGAATCCTCCTTGACACCGGAAGGGCCTTCAGGTACTCCCAGCCTTCTTTGTCGTCTCCTTGCACATGCGGGACCATGCCCATCAGAACGTCCTCGGGGAGGTGCTTGAAGATCGGGGACTTGTAGAGGGCCTGCAAACCATCCACAACACACCCCTCCTGAGCATAGGCAGCCAAATCATGCCTCCAGTCCTCATTCCTCACCTCCATCATCTTGATCGCGTTGAGGCGGTCCTGAAGGTCTACAGTTTTCTGTCGTAGCTCATCAAGCTTCCGCGACTCTAGCTCGGAGATCAACATGGCAGCCTGCACTGAGTCCACAATCTCCGGGCAGCCAGCGCGAATCCTCGTACGGATGGTCCCGTACTTTGGGTGCTTCAACAATAGTCCTCCGCGGGTCCACCTCAAAACACAGCCAAGAGACTCAACAAGTCTCCCCAGGGGTATTATAGTTTGTGCTTCCTCTCCTTGGCTCGGGTTGAGGATGATGCTCCCTGCGGGGGTTTGTCGTAGAAGACGCTGTTCATCTCCCGCCAAAACCACCGGCACCTCCTTGCTAGTGAGGTGCTCGTGCTCGTCCTTGGCGGGTCTCAACACGTGGGTTAGCTTCATCTCGTCAAGCTGGCGCTGAATCGACTCGTACGTTGGTGCCCCGGTTGTGGTAGAGGTAGTCGCCGGAGTCGTTGTCGCCATCATCGTTTTCAGCATCTGATGGGCATCGGTCAGGATCTGCTGAAGGTCGCCCGGCGGGTCCCTTGACGTACTCGATGGGCTTCCTGCCGGTGAGGGTTCCGGGCCCGGCTGAGGCGGGTCCTTCGGCGGGCTTCCCGTAGCTAACGACCTTGTTGCCGGCGGCGTAGGGGTTGTCGATGACGTCGACGGCGCGCCTGAGCCCTTGTCTCCCTTTCCTTTGCCCTTTGCTGAGCCTGCTGTTGGGGACTGCTGGGCCGCATCTCCAGCCTTCTTGGTCGGGCAATCCCTCCTTTGATGCCCAACAGCCGAGCACGTGAGGCATCTCCCTGTCTTCGGTGTGGTTCCCCAATCATGCTGAAACTGGCACTCTGCTCCTCGGCGGCAGCCTTCATCCGACTTCGCAAACCATTTGCACAGCTTCTCCTTTTTCTCCGGTTTTCCTCTCTGCCCCTGCGGTAGAGTGGTAGTAGAGGTCGACTCCGTTGTGGTTGCACTCTTGATTCTCGGAGCCGTCCGGGTTGCAGAGGAGGAAGAAGCTGTGCTCAACAGCTCCATTTCGGCCTGCAAGTGCTTGTGAAAATCCAACGTAGTTTGTTCAGTTGGATTACTATCGAGCTGCAACCGGTTTCGCATCATAGTAGTCCTCAGCCACACGTCCTGGTTCTTTACCAAGACTGGGGCCACTATCAACGCCAAGCCTTTCACCATGAGCACTGGATCTGGCACCGTCACCGTCAAGTCTTTTGGAGAACCACCTACCCCACTTCCTCAGTGCTTGCACCGCTGCTTCGGGGGTAGGAGCCCCTTCTGGCGTCGTCAACTGTTCCAGAAGCAACGTTTTCTCTTGCTCGCCTCCGGGCCTGTAGGTGGTGAGCAACCGGAACACAAGGGACAGCGACGATCCAGTGACCTTCTTCGTCACCATCTCGCTCTTGACTTCTGAGGGAAGAGCCCCCAAGATCATCCCAGCGGCCCTTGCATTGACCCTGCCGTACTTCCCATGCTCCAGCTTGCTGTCCTTCGGAAGTGCCAAGGTCAACTTCTCCATCGGGGTCGCCGTGACCCACTTTTTGTAATGATCTTGTGCAACTTCTCGTACGCCAGACCACCACTCATGACTCGTATCGGAGAGGTCTCCCATGATCGAACCCACTTCCTCCAGCCAGTCCTGGATGTCCACTGGGCTCGTGTCCTTGCCGGGGGGCTCGAGTGACGGCAGCGAGGACTTGCCTCTTGTTAAAGGATTTTTTTAAAATCCTGCTGTGTTTCGGCCTTCGACGCCTGGAAAAAGGTGTAACAAAAATCTTGGGCGGGGCCTTGCTTTGGCTGAACACTCACAGCTGGGGGGGGTCATGAATGAAGCTTATGTATCAGCGAAAAATCACAGACAACCTGAGTTGTAGCCCATACTACAAAAGATAGAAATAGTTGGAAACCATTTTTCTAATATACTGTGTATGTTTCAAAAAACATAAATGCCTATTTCGATTTCTCGAATGCAGGCAACCACATGTCGAGCACCAGTTTCAAATATTTCAGGTTATCGAATTAGGTTCGCAAATTCGTGGGACCACATCAAATGTCACAGAAAACAGAATTAATGCACTTCAAGTTGTTCGTTGTTTCATATGTGTTTCTGCAGCCACGACACGTGCACACATGCCATGTGGTTTCGTGGTTTTCAAGGCCCTATGTTAATTCTTGGCTCGTATAATAATAGGCTTCTTTAAAATTTGCCAGGTTCGAGATGTAGGCCCATTGCTTCATGAAGGTAGGAACAATAGCTTCTAGGTCATCTCACCCAAGGCTGGAACAACAGATAGATTCCTACCTTCTCCTACCCCCCTTTCAGACACCACAATCCAAAAGCCCCAATCCCCAAAGCCCTAAACCCTAAGCCTAAATAACCCTATAAGCCTAAACTCCTAAATACCCCGCGTACCTTTCAGGGCCCTGCAGGCAAGCTCGGCGACAAGGCGAAGGAGATCAGACGGCGCCGCGAAGGCGCCAAAGAAAAGTGCCGCGATGGCGCAAGACGACGACGACGACGCTGCGAGGGCGCAGAAACGTTCAGAGAAAATGTGCCGCGATGGTGCAGAAACAGACAAGATGCGCCGCGATGTCGCAGAGAAGAGGACGACAGAGCATGTGCCGCGACGGCGCAGTGTCAGTAGCTAGTGCACCGCGAGGGTGCAGAACTCTAGGCACTAATGTGCCGCGCCGCGACGGCTCTCTATTATCTCTCAAATGCGCCGCGACGGCGCATCTCTTCCTCCTTCGCTCTCTGATCTCTTTTTCCTTTCTGGTTGCACATGTGCAGTGACGGTAAGGCTTTGACAGCGCCGACCTGGTCTAGGCTGCAGTGGCTGCCTGAGTCGTGGAAGCATGAAGCGCGAATGTTTGCAGGTTGTGACCAGAATATTGAATGAGGCATTGTGAGCGGCAGTCGAAGTTGCAAGCCGCCTTTTTTCTGATCACCGAGGCCGTGGAAGACGCTCTCCACTGGAGGCCCAGTGCCAGTGCACAGCTGTGCCGGTCCACGAGCGCTAGCGTGTTGACAGACTATGACGATTGTGGGCCACCGGGTGGCAGGCTGATTGACTACAGCAGGCATCTACATCATCTGAGCGGCTTGGCAGCTGGGCCCTGAGACTTACACCAAGTGAAGGTTTGTGGAGTCTAACCCGGGCCATGCGTACTAGGAGTCCATGTGACCGTCTTGGTCGGAGTCACTTCCGGAAGGCACCTGGGTCATTTCTGTGGACGGATAAGCACGGAAGAAAGGATCTTTCATATAATGCATCACAGACGCCGGTGTTGTCGGGGGGGTCCTTTCGGCCGGCGATGTGGGAGTGGGGCCTCTCATCTCCGACATCAGGTCCCTGATCCTTGCCTGTGCAGGGAGCCACCGCAGAATCTCCATTAAGTAGCCTCTGCGTGCGTAGCCGTGCGCATCTCAAAGACCAAGCACTGGTGTAGGGTAGCCTTGCACCGATGAAGTCTAAGCTCATCGGCAGATGTAAAGTATTTGCTCCCCACCTCCTCCTTGCTGAGAGTCGCGAGCGCTTCTGTCAGCTCCTCCTCGGTCGTGCAACTTCTCACTAAGACCTTCATCCTTTGTCACTCTTGACGCTCTTGCCTTCGACTCCATCTCTTCTTGCATCTCTGTCTCGAGGAGGCCCTCGGCAGGAGTTGATGATGTTGGTACTAGCTGATCCCGGGTCGAAAGAGTCTGCCTGCGCAGCGCGGGCAGTAAGCATGTCCTCCGCAGCCTGGGACTCGAGAGCAGAGTAGCTTGGGCAGCTGCCTGCGACGACCTCAATTTGCAGGCTTCGTCCTGCAATTGTCATTAAAGCTGCATTGATGAGAAAGCAACTTGGTTGGCTCTAGGCAGAGGGTCTTGGACTCGGCATGACTACGGCAGGCAACAGCGATCCAAGGCCGTGGCCCAGCGAAATAAATCCAAACCTGCGCCAATCAAAGCTGAGACATGATCCGGGACACCGGTGCCGCCACTCACCCGTCAGTACCGGTACTGAACGGTGAGAGCCCTGCGGGTGTATGTCTACCCAGGCTGCTGGGAGAAGGACCCTCTGTCTCAGCCCTCGGATGGATAGGGCCAGACCCCTGGCTCTCACCCGTCAGTACCGGTACTGACGGGTGAGTCGCCCACCGCTGGCACGACAAGTCTATCAACCTTCACCCTCAGCTTTTAAATCCAAATCCAAAGTATCTTCCGTCAGCTTTCATGTTCATGAGCTCTTTCGCCGATGTGAAAATCGCAGGTGCGCGCGCGCATCTGCGCACCTTTACCCAGGCCGTGGCCCCTATCCGGCCCTTGCCCCCAAACTCTGCCTGGGCCCGGTCCCTCCCACATCCTGTCCTGCCTGAAACCCCAAAACTGAGATATCTGCGGCGAAGTAAAACAAAGCATTCGCCTCTGGCAGGGTCTGGGAAGCGTTGGAATGGCGGAAAGGCTACTGCTGGCCTCCAGCCAAACCGGCGGGATCCCGGATCCCGCAGACTTCCTCGGAGTCTGTAGGCCAGACGGCATCTATCACGGAGTTCTGCAGTAGCTCCCTGCAGAGGCAACGGTCAGCGAGCTGATGTCGGAGATGAATGCCCGGCTCAAGAGCCCGACATCACCGGCCAAGAGCACCCCCACAACACCGGTGTCTGTGATGCATTATGTGACATGCATACTTTCTTCTGTGCTTATTCCATCCACAGAAACTTTTGGGTGACGAGCTGGGGTTGGGTTTCGGATTGCTTTTTCTCTGGGGTGGAGGGTTTCGGCTTTCAATCATCCCCAGTCCCCCGGAAGCATCCAAAACTGTTAAAGGTACTTTATAGGAACCCCTCACGAATGGATCCAATGATCCAGGTGCCTACCGCGACGAGTGAACCCGACTCAGACCGGTCGTCGTAGGGCCCAGACTTCCGGCTGCAAAGATCAGAGATGTAGACAATGCCTGCTGATGGCATAGAACGGTAGTCAACATGCTAGCACGACGAACTGGCTGGTGGGCTGGCCGCAGCTGTGCACTGGGCCTCTAGTAGCGGAGAGCGTCTTCCGCGGCAGCCTCGGCAGAAAGAAAAGTGGTTTGCAACTTCGACTGCCCGTCACAGTCATTCCAGACGGAGTCTGCTCATTGCGGTTCTAGTCGCTATATGATGAACACATTCGGGGCTTCTTCCACGACTGAGGCTACTGACTACTGCATTCTGCCCGGTCGACGCTGTCACAGCCTTACTGTGACTGCGTGTGCGCAACCAGAACATCTTCGAGGGAGCAGCAACAAAGCGCCCAGACACCGTCACTCAGGCAGTGGCCACTGATATCACGGCGCATCGTCGAAAGTGGCACAGACAGCCTGAGAGAGAGAGGCACAGAGATCAGAGTAAGGGAGAGAATGCGCCGTCGCGGCACATGACAAGTCTACATGCACCCTCGCGGTGCGCTGCCTACTTGCTGCTCCTGCGCCTTCGCGGCACATGATGTGTTCCCCCCTATGCGCCATCGCGGCGCATCTTGTCTGTGTCTGCGCCATCGCGGCGCATCTTCTCTGAGTGCATGTCTGCGCCATCGCGGCGCATCTTCTTTGTCTGTGGCTGCGCCATCGCGGCACAATCGTCGTCGTCGTTGGTCGTCATTCGTCGCCTTTGCGCCATCGCGGCACATTTTCTTTGGCGCCTTCGCGGCACCGTCTGATCTCCTTCGCCTTGTCGCCGAGCTTGCCTGCAGGGCCCTGAAAGGTACGCGGGGTATTTAGGAGTTTAGGCTTATAGGGTTATTTAGGCTTAGGGTTTAGGGCTTTGGGGATTGGGGCTTTTGGATTGTGGTGTCTGAAAGGGGGGTAGGAGAAGGTAGGAATCTATCTGTTGTTCCAGCCTTGGGTGAGATGACCTAGAAGCTATTGTTCCTACCTTCATGAAGCAATGGGCCTACATCTCGAACCTGGCAAATTTTAAAGAAGCCTATTATTATACGAGCCAAGAATTAATATAGGGCCTTGAAAACCACGAAACCACATGGCATGTGTGCACGTGTCGTG